GTCTTGATATCTACATTTAATTTTACAAATCTGACTGGACCTAAAAAATTAAGAGATTCCTTTGTAGGACCTTTTACAATCAAACAATTACACGGTGCAAATGCTGTTGAAGTTATACTCACTGGAGAATTAGAAAGAAAACACCCTACATTTCCAGTCAGTCTAATTAAACCATACAAAACTAGTGATAATGATAAATTTCCTTTAAGAAAAGATAACATCAGAGTTGTAATACCTCCTTTAGAGAAAGAAGAAATTAAAATTAAGAAGATATTACAACATAGAAAAATCAGAAAAAACAATGTGGACATGAAACAGTATTTAGTAAGATACAGTGGTACCAAAGAAGATGAATGGCTTACAGTTGATAAAATACCTGATGCTGATAAAATTCTCAGACAATACAGAGCTGATAAAAGAAAATAACATTCATTTATTTCTTGGATCAGCCTTTTTTAGAGGGAGGAAGTGTCAGCCACAGAGTACACGTCACAGTACCTTTCATGTACCAAGTAACTGCAACACCTGTACTTATGTACATAAGTACTTATCCATAATGTTGATTACCTTTACCTCTTGTTATCTTATTATTATCATTAACTTATCTTATCTTATTATTATCATTAACTTATCTTATCTTATTTATCTTACATTTATCTTATCTGTTAATTACTTATCTATTTAAATACATACCTGTGTTCTACATAAGTAATTATCACTTACCTTTCACTCCCTTGTCCGTGAAATACCTGTACCACAAGTTATCCCTCTGCTACAGTATTTTCACGGTCAAATATTAGTACAAATAAATATGTACATGTATTAAATAGTAAGTATTAAGTGTCAATAGAATTAATACATTCAATACATGCACAGATCACAATTATGACTACATTATTAGAGGATCTGTTAAGTACACATCAAGAGCAACTAGTACATTGATCAACTAGTACACAATTATGATGTCACTTACAGATCATGACAAATAATGATCAGTCACTCAATTGATGTGCTCATTCTCCTGGCCAAAGCTCCCTTGATTCTGAGCGCTCATTCTTTCCCCCTTCAGTATTCTGGAACTTATAATCCGTGCCTCTTTCACTGATTAATCCCCAGAATATTCAGACACCAGTTAAACCAGTTAACATTTATATTGATACAGTACACGTAACCAACATAAATCTTGTCTACATTTATTGTTCTTAAGCTTCAGTACTCTTACTCAACTTATCCACAGTATTCATAGCCTTGCTGAATATTCCCATCAACAATACCTGTTAATCTTCAACTAATTTTGTTAAAGCTTAATAAGTATTGTTAGCCCATTCCCTTTGGGGAATAACCAAATCAATCCCAGGTGAGTCTTAGTACCCTGGATGCCTATTAATACCTTGTATTGATCCGGATGCGCTGTTGATAGCAAGCCTCTCAGTAAAGACCATACTGATAGAGTGAAACCTCCTCTTTACAGGACTGGTATTAATCACCCACTACCTAACACTCACCACGCTCAAAAACTTCAGTCAACTCATAGTAACAACCTTTTTACTATTAAATACTCAGGTTAGTTACCCAGAGGCTGACAGCTTTTGCAAGGGCATCGGCTGCTTCATTAGCCTTGATTCCCTCATGACCGGGGCACCAATAGAGTTTCACCTGACGGCCTAGAAATCTCATGGAAAAGAAGTTGTCAGTGTACAGATGTTGTCCCGGGGATAGGGACAATGGGTCAGCAGATAGCGTCAGAGCCCCTTGGTTGTCGCAAAAAATTGCCACTGTATCTATTTCATGGGAGTGGTCAGCCTCAATGGCTTGCTTTGCCAGCTCAGTGGCAAGTTTAATTCCTGTTAATTCCGCCTCAAAATTAGAAATAGAATCAGCAGGATTAATAGAAGCTACTATGCTCGCTCCCAAAGGATGAGCCACTGCCGCAGCTCCCGCTCCCTTGTCCAGTATCCAAGATCCGTCTGTAAAGATGATCAGGGCTCGGTTTTGTTGTTCCTGCTGAAGCTGCTGTGGAATGCGGTGAATCACGTCTTCTCTCTTGTCATGTAGGTTTTGAATCTCCGTAATCGGTTCTATCCAGGGTGGGACCGGTGTCGGGTGGATGGTTTCTAGCTGGTTGATTGGGAAAGTGTAAGAACTGTAATGCGTCAGGGTTTGGTGTATGGGACTTGGGAAGGTGGGTGACTTGTCAGCTAATTCTTTCTGTATGATGTGGAGGACGGGGTGGGGGGTGGGGTACGTTAAAGCGCGGAGTATGTAAGAATGAGAATTCCGAAGATGAATTTCCAGCGGTGTCTTCAACCCGCTGCTCTTTCTGACAAAGGGGAGAGGAGTTTGTCTGAACAGACCCGTTATCAGTCTGCAAGCTCGGTGGTATAAGTTATCAAGCGTTTGTGCCACCGTCTTGGCATTTCTTTTGGTGTACCAAATGATACTGCCAAAAAGGATCCTTGAATATAATACCGATACTACCAATCTCCTTGCTAAACCTGTGTTCAATCCATAAGTTGATTTTATGATTCGGTCAAGTTGCAGCAAAGTGAGGTCGCCTGTTGAATTTACTTTCTTCAGGTGTTCTGAAAAGGTAAGTCGCTGATCAAGGATGATGCCTAGCCACCTGGTTGATTTTTGGAATGTGTGGGTGCATCCATCAAAGTCAAAGGATGGGGGTGTCAGTGTCTTGCAAGAGAAAAACATCAGTACAGCTTTCTTGGGGTCGAAGATGGCTCCAAATTTCCGTCCCCATTCCAAGGAGCGGGAGGCCTCTTCCTGCAACATCTCGGTTGCTAATTCGGTCGAATCGGCAGCAACTAAATGAACTATGTCATCGACATATCCAATGGAAATTCTGTTATCTTCTAGTGAGCAATTATTGTTTATCAGTAGGCTACTATTATATAAGATGTATAGGGTGACGGATAAGGGGGAGCCTTGCGGTAGGCCCTCCTTTACTGGGAATGAAGAAGACACATAGTCTCCCATTCGAATGGATGTAGACCTTTCGGTCAGGAACGATGAGATGACTGGGATCAGGTATGTTGGGCAAGAGAGTTGATAGAGTCGATCCACAAGTCTTGCCCCGTAAACCGAGGGATAGGCGGATTTCACGTCTAAGAATATCCCGGCCACTATCTTGCCTTTCCTCCATTGGTGTTTCACCCAAGAGGTGAAGACCACCAGGGCATCAACAAGATTCCGGCCTCGTCTTCTGCCCATGTGGCCTTGGGGGAGGATCCCTTTAGTTTCGATCCCGTAGATCAGACGTTCATTTAGAATTTTTCCA